CATTGGATTTTTAAATACTAATGGAAATACCGATTATCAGATGTTTTAACCCGCTCAAATTTTTTTATTTAAATAATTGTGGCGTCCTTGGGTCAAAATGACTCGCCGGTGATTACACTTTTTATTCTAGCTGAATGTCGACTTATTGAGCCCCCTCTGGGTCCTGACAGAGATGGGTCCAATGCTATTTGTATTTTATCATTATTCAAAACAATACTGAACAAATTACCAAAACAAACTTCATGAGTTATACATGAGTAATACTATACAAACCATAAAATCTTGTTGGTTTTTTAGGAAAAAATGTGAAAAATGTGAAAAGTTTGACTCGAGGACGTGGGATGAACACGGAAAATGAGTAAAACACAAAATAAATTCTGACGACCAGTTTTTACATGAAGTCAAAGAATCACAAGTAGAGAGCGAGAAATCTTACATTTGTGAAATGAACCAACTCAGACTCTGAGGAGCACAGGGACCGGCCTCCTGCTGGGACTCTGAGGAGCACAGGGACCGGCCTCCTGATGAGCACAGGGACCGGCCTCCTGAGGAGCACAGGGACCGGCCTCCTGAGGAGCACAGGGACCGGCCTCCTGCTGGGACTCTGATGAGCACAGGGACCGGCCTCCTGATGAGCACAGGGACCGGCCTCCTGAGGAGCACAGGGACCGGCCTCCTGCTGGACCCAGAGTCAGAACTAAACACGGGGAGGCAGCGTTTCAGATTCATACAGCTAAAACTAAATGTCTTCGTCTCATTGACAAATCTTGTTTTTTTTAACCGCTTCATTTTGTAGTGAATGTACAGACTTTGTAGCAAAACAGAATATAGTTTTATATATGCTATAGTTAAATGTATATACATATTTTTAAAGCACCCATGTGAAATGTGTCATAATAGTTACAATAAAAGTAAAAAAATAAAACACAAAAATTAAAAAAAGCAAAATGAATAAACATAATAGTTAAATAGAAACATCCAAATGGTCATATTTAATTTCGTTATTCTGTTTTAAGGCAGAATCTACTCAAAAATAAAAACCACTCTATTTAAGCATTTATTACCTGTGTTTTATCATTTCCGGTGTGTATTGTGTGATTGTTTCCACTTTGTTTTGTTGAGCACTTTGAGTTTCCTTGTGTATGATCTGTGCTTTACCAACACTGAAAACTGGCCTCGTCGACATCACTCACGGTGGGAAAAGTTTAGCAAACAGCCTTGAACCTCAGTCAGACCCAGATCTGCATCAGAGGAAGAGCCGGGGTTGGCACATGGGCAGCTGAGTCAAAGCCCACACACACACACACACGTTTATTCTATGTGGAGATTCCAGTCAGTCACTCCGCAGACACCTCGAGGTCCGGCTCAGACATTCCACTCGTGACCAACACCATCAGCGGCATTTTTAAGGTTTTTTTTAGAACGGCGTTGACCCAAAGATGCAGCGTGTCGGACGTGACTTAAAACAAAATTAGCTAATAATGGTCACACAATCAAAAGCCCGTTGTGCGTCACACTCTACCTTCTGTGATGATTCAGACACTGGTAACGGTTAAACTGGGGAATAGGTTGCCAGGTTGAGGTGAACAAGAGGTTGAAAATGTATAGTGTGTGAATGTAGTGCATTTAACACAGTATCTGGCAACCTACAAAATATTGAAACACTTGAAGCTGAAAAAAACTGGAACAAACGTGTCTTTTGTAGATTTTTTTAATCCAAAGCTTGCAGCAGACACAAAACTTTGACGCGTGGAGCTTTAACAAAGACTCAAAAGACAGAAAAAAAAAGACAGTCCTGTGCTTTCTCTACAAAGCGTCCGAAAAAGACGAGAGAATCAAACTGAAAAATGAAAAGTACAAACGTTTAATGAACATTTTACAGTGTACGAGTGAGATTTACAATGTGAACTACGTTACCCATGATCCCTTGTGTGTGTGAGAGACAGAGGGAGGGAGGGGGGGTGTCAATGAGCCAATGGTTAAACTAAACATTGAATTTGATGGATTCTATTTGGACAGCTGCTGGTGTGTGTTTTGTAAGTACTTTCTACTTGGGGTGCCGTCTAGAATATTCTATCATGAAATGGTCTTTTAACCGGGAAATGGAGAAACAGTGACAAAACATATATGCAAAAGAAAATATATAGCTTCACAAGTCTGCCAGTTTGTCCCCAGGGGGCGCTACAACTAACCCACATGCATATAATCCCTTATCATGGCCACTGCTAGCCTGGCCACTCAGGACCGGTGGATTTGTTTGTGTCAAGTTGCCATTGCCCAAACGGCTGATTCCCAATCAGTGGTCCCTCGTTTATCGCAGAAGTTACGTCCTAAAAGTAACTAACAGCTGTAGGTTTAAGACTGTAAAACCACTCTCCACACTTTTAACACTTTTCTAACCGCCTGAACTCACGGCTGCTGAAGTGAGAGAGACCAGAGAGAGACCAGCGAGAGAGAGACCAGAGAGAGACCACAGGAGAGACCAGGAGCGACCAAAGAAAGACAAGAGCGAGAGAGCAAGAGAGATTGACCAGAGAGAGGCCAGAGAAAGAGACCAGAGAGAAACCAGAGATCGACCAGAGTGAGATCAGAGAGACCAGAGAGAGGGGGAGAGAGACCAGTGACAGAGCCCAGAGAAAGGTGTATCTTTCTATGGGTGTTATAATGAGGGACCATTGTACTATTTTCACAGATGAGAAGTTTGCCCATCATTAAAACGTCTACCTTTTAAGTTGCAAGGTTTTTTTACATTTTAAATCTGAAATCTGTAAAGGAGTGGACATAGTGAGACATATTACTCTCTTGCCCCGGTCTCAGTTTGACTAGTGCCATGGGCTGATTTGGCAACTTATCAAATACATAAGACTTTTTCTATAACATGAGGGGGGAAAGAACACAGGGGTCATATAGAAAACTAAAACCTGAAGGTCTGAAGCTCAGATGAAGCACAACTCAGAAGTGACAAAGAAAAGTTCCAATGAATTTTAATGAATCTGGAACCAGCTCTTTCTGCCACCAATGTTTACCCATAGCATGCTAGCTACGTCCACTTCTTACAGTTGATTAAGTCTCTCCTCTGCTACAGTGTTTACAATCACTGATGTGGAGTGAGAATCTCTTTTTAAAATGATTCATAAAACATCAATTTGATAAAGCTGCTTGACATTTGAGAGCTTCGGCGGTCGGGCATTTGTGAACCTTTAGGGCCAAACGGGCAATGACATAACTCAATCATTTTAATGAATTGAGTGACCCATGTCATGGGTTATAAACTAATACGTTCATGAGAAATCTTTAACAAACAAAGATAAAAGGCACATTTAGACTGCCAAAAACGCAAGAATAGGTTTTTGAATTAAGTAGTATCTATCCTGTAGTATTTTGACTCTTAAAACATGTCATTGGAACATGCAAAAATAGCATCTTCTTAAAGTATATTAAAAGTAGCACAATGTCTTATTAATTAGAGGACAAATGCTACTGATCTCTGACTACAGCAGAGGTGTCAAACTAGTTCCAGAGAGGGCGTGTGTGGCTGCAGGGTTTCATTCCAGCAGCACACCAGACTACACCAATTTCCTCAGGTTAAGACTGGACTCACTTGGTCTGGATCAAAGCTGGAGGATTTCAGCGACTGTAATGGTCGAGATGGCTACACGATCTCCAGTCAGTTTGTGGGCTACACTACAAACTGTATATAGATGGCTAATGCTAATCCGCTAGCTCAATGAAGTCCAATAGAGAAGTGGAGGCAAGTTCTGCTCCGACTTGCTCTGGCTCCCATCGACTTGTGTTCAAAGGAAAGCTCTCTGTGATCCTGGTGTTTATATTTTGATATCGTCTTTGATTGACCAATCAGATTCACAGGTAAAACTCCAGCTTGCCTTAGCAACTCTCTAGAGGAAAAGGAAATGGCTGGATGTGGTTGCTGCTTCTTGGAATGAAAACCTGTAGCCACACCAGCCCTTTGACACCCCTGGTCTGTAGGCAAAACTTTTAAGGCAGTCAAAATACACCAAGACGATTTCTGCTTCTTTCAAAATGCTACTTATTTCTTAGGCTTTTTAGCACTAGTTCATCGCTGCGGAGATGTTACCGCTTTGCCCTCGATAGATTATTCCACGGTCTGGCATTAAACTCATCTGTTCTCAATTAGCTACAGGTCAGGTCTGCAAAGAGTCGACCCGGTTCACAGTAAAAAAGTGCTTTTTCCCCCCCGATCTGTGAAAAAACACAACGTAATAAATATATTTGAGATTTTGATCAATGCCCCACTGTGGAATATTGCAAGCAAAGCAAATCTCCATGAAGGGTTGTGAAAGCGGGTGGCCAGGCTAGTTCAGTACAGTATCCATACATCAGAATAGGTCCTCGTCGTGCATAGACAATCTTTGACAGTTTTTGAAGACACAAGATACTTAGGATAAGGCGTTAAAAGTTCATTTATGGGGCTACAGTCCTTATTAAAGCTACGTTTATGTGATTTTTGACTCGAATTGTTTCGACAAATTGAGGCGGTGAGGTGTCAAAAAAAAACAAATGCCACTTTCCGTATGTGCATAGGCCTATTTAAAAAAACATTCACAAACTACACGTATATATCGACATTCCCTGCTTCACGAGGACACAAAATCTAACTTTAAAACTTTTTTTTTTTTTACATTCAATCTCCATCCATAGAATTCTGTTATGACAAAATAAACTTCCCTTAGTAGCGCTCGTTTTGGGGATCTAGCCGTTTCCTTTCCCATTCATAAACGCTCGCCGGGGGCCGAAAAATCTCAACGCTAGCACAAGGCTTCTTCTGCTAAAGTCCCGTGTTTAAAACCTGATGGCGACAAAGAGAGACCACATCTCTTTGACTACATTTCATAATCTCTTAAAATCAGAAACTTTTGGGGTCATGGTAAAAACAGAACAAAAACATTGAAAGTTGGGTGCAGTGCGACAGTATTATTGCTTCCATGTTCTGTGTGTGTAACTGTGTGTGTGTGTGTCTCTCAGTGCGCCTCCGTCTGCACCTCGGCGATGGCCTCGGCTTTCTTTCGCCGCTTGTTTAAAAGTGGGTTCGTCGAGTCTTCGATCTTCTTGATCTTGATCTGTTCGTAGTCGACGCGCATCGTGGCCAAGGCACTCGTCATCTCCTCCTGAAACCGGACCGGACACAAACACACAAAAGCATTAAGATTAAGAAATATAATCAGCGAATCAGTTCCAGAAAGGGCTGGTGTGGGCGCAGGTTTTCATTCCGACCAAGCAGGAGCACACCAGACGCACCCCATTTTCTTCTATTCTTCGGGGTATTACCAGATAGAATAAGAACTGAGTATTAAAGCAAATGTGCAGCTAAACTAATAATGACTTTAAACAGAGACCCATGGTTAGAGTCTGGTGTGCTCCTGCTTGGTCGGAATGAAAACCTGTAGCCACACCGGCTCTTTGGGGACAGGTTTGACAGCCCTGCCCTGAATTTATCATAACACTTTGATATCTCAACAGAACAGGAGTCAAAGAATGAACTAAGATTATCGCATTAACCGAGTCATTACTTTAAGTTCTACTTCATTGTTACTGTAGAGTCATTTGTCCTCTGCATTTGACCCACTCTTCCAACGCCACTCTGGGGAGCAGTGCTAATCTGCAGCTCACAGCTCAGGAGTCAGGACTGAACAAACAAGGCTTTTAAAGTATTCAATTTTTTTGTTTATTAAAGACCCAAAGTGAATGGTTGAAAACATCGACCCACACGAAGAATGTGTTCCATCTTTTACATACTCAGAAGGAACCATGTCAGGCATACAACATCATTGAATCATGAGGTATTTTTACGCACAGTTACACTCAAGGAATTCCATTCTATTTTGACAATTACATAAGTAAAATCTACTTAAAATAATAAGTCCATAAACTCTGCTCTGACAAAAGGCTCCACTTCATTGTGTCATCTCTCTCTGCTGTTCACATAAACACACTGAAGCCGCTGAAGCATGTCTGGAGATGAACAGCTGATAGATCGCTCCGTCGCTGCACTCCAGGGGGCGCTCTAACAAACTAAAAAAACTCGGGAAAAGTCTAGGCTTATCGTCCGACAAGTACTGCATATTGTGTTTTTAAATTCCCTTTAAAAAAGCAATATACACTTCAGTTTTTTATTTGTTAAAAAAGTTTAAATTATCCAATAAATTTCGTTCCACTTCACGATTGTGTCCCACTTGTTGATTCTTGACAAAAAAATTAATTTTTATATCTTTATGTTTGAAGCCTGAAATGTGACGAAATGTTGAAAGGTTCAAGGGGGCCGAATACTTTCGCAAGGCACTTTACTTTGGACAAGTATTACCCAATACTAGTCATATGAAGTCAAAATACAACTTTGATTTCTGTCATATAAAATAAAGTCTGAACCTTGACATCCTCCCAGGCATCCTTCTCCTCCTTCAGAACTCGACTGGTGTGAAGCGGCGTCTGTGGCACCTCCATCGATTGCTGAAACACAAACCTCATTAGATTTGTTGGTGAATATTAACAACATCGAAACAAAAAGAGTATGTCCTCACATTGATCCAGGGGTGGTTCATGAACTCTGTGATGGTCATTCTCTGAGTGGGTTCAGTCTTCAGCAGAGTCCTGATCAACTGTTTGGCTGCGAAGACACAATCGAAACTTAAAAACCACAATTTACTGAACCTGGTGAATGTGCGAGATTTCGATTAGAGTCAGAGATTTTCATGTACAAGGCCTCAGTCAGGAAACGGTCTCAGTGATTTTCAACCACAGTTTGTTGAATGGCACAACAGACGCAGACTTGAATGTGACATAAAAGTATTTTCAGTTTTCTGTGTCAACCAAGAAATTCAAGATTCCATTTATTACACAGAGAAAATGTGAACACAAAAAAAAGTTCTGTCTTTTTTATAAACACGGCTCATGTGGACTCAGCACCTGCAGGAGGATTAGTGAGAGGCTGGTGCTCTGTGGACTGGGTGCAGCTCTGACTGCCACCCCTGACCTAGAAATGGATTAAGGGGAAGGAAATGGATGGATGGATGGAAGGCATATTCCATCCATCCATCCATTTATGTCTATTTAACATAATAAATGAATAATGGATATTAGTACTGGGCCTTTGTCTTCCATTCCTCCACTGCTGTGTCAGTACCTGTGCTGTGTCAGTACCTGTGCTGTGTGTCAGTTACCTGTGCTGTGTGACAGTACCTGTGCTGTGTGACAGTACCTGTGCTGTGTGACAGTACCTGTGCTGTGTGTCAGTATCTGCGCTGTGTGACAGTACCTGTGCTGTGTGACAGTACCTGTGCTGTGTGTCAGTACCTGCGCTGTGTGTCAGTACCTGCGCTGTGTGTCAGTACCTGCGCTGTGTGACAGTACCTGCGCTGTGTGACAGTACCTGTGCTGTGTGACAGTACCTGTGCTGTGTGACAGTACCTGTGCTGTGTGACAGTACCTGTGCTGTGTGACAGTACCTGTGCTGTGTGACAGTACCTGTGCTGTGTGACAGTACCTGCGCTGTGTGTCAGTACCTGTGCTGAGTGACAGTACCTGTGCTGAGTGCCTGTGTGACTTTGGTAGAGGGGGCGTGTCTGCAGCACCGGACTCTTCATCTCCCAGTCTGCGGTGATGAAGTGAGCGGTTATCGTAGCGGTTAACATATCTCTCCGTTCCGCTGATGGATCTATTATAGGTTCCGCGGGACGTCCAAGCGTCAGTCGTGAGCGCAGCTGAGGATGCGCGGGAGAGTTGACTTTAGCCCGGTCTGACTGTGCGTAAAGGAGCTGCTTAAATGCTGCGACAATAAGCGGTCGTTGAGACGCTTTTTTCACTCATGTCTTTCTTGTGCTACAGTGTTTACACACCGTGACAGTTTTGTCGAATATTAATTATCAGTGTAGTTACAGTGAAGCCAAAATGCTCTCATACTGGGGATTTAAATGACGCGGGGTTTTCAAGCTCCTCCATTCCTCCGCTTGCCGTGACCACGCTGTGTGTGGACTGAACAACATGCACACCATTTTTTTTTTCATAAAATCAAACCGTGGATCACGTCTGTACCGAACCGAAGACGTTGATCCGAACGGATCACGGATCAGTGATGAACCGTTGCACCTCTAATGATTTGTGACAAAAGCCAGGCAGTGTGAGACATGCTGTACTCTTATGGGGTCCAGCTCCTTCAACATCAGTCATACATCCTCCTCCGTCACACATAATCCACATTGTCTACATTTGGCAAAAATCCAGCCATACCGAGGAGTTCTCCAGAGCCCAAAGTTGGGGAGGAATAAACTCAACACGTCCAAAAATTCAGAGTAAAGCTTGCGATGTGATCATCTATTTGAGCATATAGTAGTCTTCAGATGTCGTTCACTTAAATAAAACTTGTGTCCGCGACAGAGAAATGTTTTTATGTCCGAAAACAAACACATTCAATGTCTCTGTTGACATAGCATTAACCTGAAGTACCATCACTGCTAACTATCTTTCTAAACTTTATTTCTAAATTAATAATAATAATAATAATACTAATAATATTAATGCATCTGTTTTATATAGCGCCTTATGGACACTCAGGCACTTCACATTCTTTCCCTTGATACACGTGGTGATAAACTACTACTGTAGCCACAGCTGCCCTGGGGCACACTGACAGAAGTATCAAGTATCATATATTCTCAGGATCAAGCATCTCGAGATCCCAGGAAAGCTTCTCATCTCAAGATTTGTATGTAAGATTTTTGGACCTTTACTAAACCCCCTGTAGAGTTTTTCTGTCTTTATGTTTTCTCTATAGTGCACATTGGGAATGATTGCATGAATATTCCAATGTGTTTTTTACTGCTGATGGAAAATAAACTGAATCTGAATGTATTGAAATGTGCAGCAGAGAAAAGTGCAAAATACTTTTACTTTTTACCTTCTTCAGAGACGTCGGACCACTCTGGGTTTGGGAACTCGTACTGTCCCATCCGGATCCGCTTCTTCATCCCCGGAGAAATGGCTAAACCATGGTTCGAGTAAAACGGAGGATATCCGCATAACCTGGCAACACAGATTTACACTGAGTGAGTAAAACAGAGGCGACATTTGGGAAGTAGAATAATAATAATAATAATAATGTATTGGCCTCTTTGGACATGGAAAGACTCTACACATGTCATTATTCTTTCACTCCATACATTGGTGATAAAATACTTCAGAGGCACAGCTGCCCTGGGGCATACTAACAGAAACGAGGCAACCAGCATGTGCCATCTCCAACCACCACCAACCACTCACACACCAGACTCATTCTAATGTGGGTGAAATGTCTTGCCTAAGGACACAACCACAGTTTGGCACTTTACAGCCGCTCCACTGTGGCACCCGGTGTTCCCAGAGGTCTCCCATCACAGTACTAACCAGTCCCTGCCCTGCTTAGCTTCAGGGGTCTGACAGGATCTCGGTTTCACGTGTAAGTGGCAAAATTAACTTTCTCTTGTGGCTCAATGGTGTGTGTCAAGTCTAAGCGTCCAAGTCTCTTCATATTCCAACAAATTTAACTTTAAAAACCACTAGTCCAACATCGAGACTGTATCCAGAACTCACAAAATATACATGATGACGCCCAACGACCACATGTCACAGGATTTGTCGTATTTCTCTGGGCCGAGGACCTCAGGAGCTGCAGAGAACAGACCGCAGGTGAAGGAGTCGTCTTGTAAAGTGACAAACATCAGCGGTGAATCTTTGCTCTCTTACCGACGTAGTACGGCGTGTAGCAGGGCGTGGCGAGCGAGTTGTGCGACGTCGTCTCTTTGGCAAAACCAAAGTCTGTGAGCTTCAGCAGCGCGTTGGGCCGTTTCGTGGAATACAGCAGGTTCTCTGGCTGCAGGACGACAGGAAGCAGAAGGATGCTTTAGTTATAATCAACGGCTCATTAAAATAGCAATATGTAAGATTTTCATGTCCAGTCATCATTAAAGGGCCCTAATCTGTCAAAAAATCTTTTCCAAAACTTCTTTAACTGATAACAGCAGTTCAGAGATATTTGGATTTCAAAATTAGTTTTCCAGCCCCGAAAATTGTTATAGTCTTCAGTTTGATGTCCCGCCCTCCACTGTTTCACCGATCAAAGTCCGTGATCCGGGCGCCAGGACTCACCGCGTGGAGCTAATCTCACTGGTAAAGTACCATGTGGCGCAGAACTAAAAAAGGTCTTGTTATGATTCTCAAATTATAAACAACAAAACAAGGAATAAAAACAGTATTTCTATCTTTGTGAAAAAGGTGTTGGTTATAGATTTGTTGTTGACAAAACTCTTGTCTATTCAGCTGTTATGGTGCCAGCTGGATTCGTCTGCATATCTGGCAACCTGAGTCAGGGAGAGTGGGAGAGGCTGCAGTACCACTTTTGGCCACATTTGTACATTCGGCTTGTGAGAGTTTGAATATGACTTTAAGCGTGTTACCTTGACGTCTCTGTGGGCGATGTTGATGGCGTGGAGGAATTGTATGGCTTCACCGATATTTTTCATGATGTCGGAGGCCTCTGAAGCCACAGCACAAAGACAAAAAGTGTAAAGTACAGTATTACTTTAAGTATTAATACAGCGGTGCCTCGTTTATCTCTGGGTTACATTCTAAAAACAAGCGAAATCTGCAAAGTAGCAGCTTTACAGTGGTGAGGGTAAAATAGTGTTCAGTATTGCGATGCGAAATTTTGCGCAAACATCAAACATATGCAGTAGAGAAAAGTATTCCAATATTTAATCAAATAATTATCTGCTTCACTTTTGTGTTTCCTTTGAGTTTACTGATTTCAATTTGAGGTTTATGTTTCTCCATTATGTCTGCTTTATGTTACTCTAGTCCTGGGGTCTCCAACCTATAGCTTGGGAGCTACCCGTAGCTCGCCAACCCCCGTTCAGGTAGCTCCCCAAAAGGATTTAGAATTAAACGCATGATTCTGAACGAAAATGTCTATAATAAGTTAAAAATATAGGGCTATACAGTATTATAGTATATTTACATGTGTCCTCTCATTTTTTTTACGACTGCAAAAAAGGAGTAGCTCTCTGTCTCTTCTGTTGTATAAAAGTAGCTCTGTGGTTGAAAAAGGTTGCACTAGTATAAGTGATGTGCTGGGAGCTCACCATTCACTTTAGCACTACTCTCTTAAGTTTCTTGATTTTTGAAATGCTTTTGGATAATATAATCGCAGAATCAAATCGTTAATTAATAACCACGGTGCTCACAAACAACAAAAACATACACAAATGGCGCATCAGAAGCAGATTGTAAAAAAAGCTAAATTGCACACACAAAAAGGTCGCGAAAGACAAACCGGGCCAAAGCGAGGGACCACTGCATTAGTTTGATTTGATGATCATAAAGTGTCTGTACCTCTCTCCGTGAAGGCCTGGTCTCCTCTGTCCTGGATCCGACTGAACAGTTCTCCGCCGTCCATACTGCAACACACAAAACAACCATCAATCATTTATCTGTATAGCACAATTTGTGTACAAGGCCATTCAAAGTGTTTCACAAGAAAAAAAAAGAAAAAAAAACATATGCGGCTTTATCTTAATATTAAATAATAATCTAAGTATGGGGTTTAAAACATGTTAAAAAGTGGGTTTCAAAAAATGGTAAAAGAACCGACAAACCGTCAATAAATATGATTAAAAACTGTTTCAATAGATTTATAACAGATTCAGATTCAGTTTATTTGCAATTTGCAGTAAAAAAACCACATTGGAATACATTAGCAAAAGTCTCCAGTGTGCACAGACAAATACAGACATAAAACAACATTAAAAGACAAAAATAAAACAAAACAGTAAACAAATGTCACTGTGAAATCGATCGACTAAAACAGTTTCAAAACAAGTGCAAATCATTAAAGTGCTCTGTTCACACTGATAACAGCTTGTGGATAAAAAGCGTGTTAGCGTAACGAGATGTCCTGCATCTCAGAGAGCGATATCTTCTGCCAGAGGGAAGAAGCTGGAACATGGCTTTCTCAGGGTGGCCAAAAGAGTCATTAACAATCCTAAGAGCTTTGTTTAAAAGTCTGGATTTATAAAGACCACTGAACCACATTTTGTATCTCTGCTCTATAAGAGGATTCATCAGTGTCACTGATGAGACCAATGATGGTGGTGTCATCAGCATATTTGATGATCAAGTTTGAGTCAGAGGAGGACACACAATCGTGAGTGTACAAAGTAAAAAGCAAAGGACTCAAAATACATCCCTGAGGAGAACCAGTGCTCACAGAAACAACATCAGAAAAACATACGAACATTTAATTCGTAGAGAAAAGGTGTACATTTTCTGAGCCCAGAGTGTGAGACAAAATTCCTAAAATGTAAAGGTTCATTTACGGCATATGCAAAAAGTTCCTGGGTTTTATTCCCATGCTACATTAAGGTTCCCTCCAGGTGCTCCGATTTCAACCACTGCTAAAATCATGTACAATAGTTGAAGGTGAATGAGAGTGAGTTTGTGAGTGCGACTGCGGGTCAATGCCAACTTCATTTGTAAAGCACATTTACCACACCAGCTGCCCCAAAGTGCGCCACATGCACAAAAGAAACAAGTAAAAAGAACAGAAGTAGAGATGCATACGTAAACAGTAAAGACAGTAAAACGACAAAAGGGTAAAAAGCAAAGGCACAAATGTGTTCTCAGGTTTGATTTTCAAGTCCCCAATGAAGAAACTAAACTATTGATGTCAGAATATGCGATATAGAACCACATGTGTCACTTTACTTAGTCCCAGACCCTTGTATACAACTATATATGTCTTGTAATGGAATATACAGTATTATAGACCTGCTTCTATATCATGCTAAAGCTAGAGATGTTATACTTGCTTCTTTAAGTGCTAAAGTTTATTTCATTTCATACAGTTATTGTTCACTTATCCTTTTCCGCGTCTCATTCCTACCGTTCTGTGACTGGAGATGCAACACTGAACTTTGCCTGCACAGAACTGGGAAAAAAGCTTTTGTGTTTGCTGCTCCTTCTACATGGAACGCGTTGCAAAAAGACTGGAAATGATCTGAACTTATTTCATCGAATGCTTTTAGATCCAGATTGATAGAATGAGACGTCCTCATTGAAATGTAACTTTTTATAATCCGTAATCTTATGAAATTGTATGTGACTGTTTTTATAATATGTATGCAACTGTTTTATAATCTGTAATGTATGTAACTGTATTTAACTTTTGTGCAGGACTTGTTCTTAATCTCAATGGGACTTTCCTGGTGCAAAAAAAAAAATTTCCCCAATGTGGGCAAATAAAGTATCTCTCTTAATCTAGTCTTATTCCACATTTCTTCCTTTACTCCTGACACTGACAACACTGCAAAAAGCAAAGACAAAAAGTAAAAATGGCTCAAATTTGGCAAAATGTTTCATTTGAGCACATTCTGACTTTGGCGACGGGACAAAGCAAAATGATCTTGTTAAAAAAAGATGAAAGAAATGTCTCTCTTGGAATGAGAAAATAAAGCAACAGCTCTTGAAACAGGACAAACGGCTTTGTCCCGTTGGAGAATCTGGTTTTAAGACATGTCAGAATGTTCTCAAATTAGCATGAAAAGCGCTCGATTCAAGCAATTTGCACCTCATATTTTAATTTGTTTCTTAATTCCACAGTTTGGGAGCAGCCACAACAAAGGCCCTTGAGTTTTGTAGTTGGATTGGAGCCTGCACCGTTCCAAATAAAAATATAAATAGCGTTCCTTCTAAATGTAGGTGTCTTAGGGGCTGGTCTCGTCTGACATTTCAAAACAAAACGTAAAAATGCCAATAAGTCATGATCGTAAAATGAATACAGATGCATGTTCTGAGGAAGTCGTGAGTGAATCCGCTGACACACTCTGTAGTAATGACTTTACTGTTTTGGTTTTTGCAGAAGAGAAAACGTCAAAAGAACATCTCGTTCTCACACCGGCCCGGGTCTAGAATGACTGTAACACGCTTTCAAGCCGTTTCACTTTGACAGTTTTCTCGGTCTGGTTACACTAAAGAGGAGAGGCTGAGGCGAGAGACCGGGGCCACCCTCCAGACCAACCCCCCCAGGTCCCAGCACCCCCAGCACCCCTCACCCTGGTGCCAGTGACAAGGACAGTGAAACAGCAGCAAATTGTGGTGAAGGTGCAGAATCACAACTTAAAATGTTCTCAGGGCAGGCTGAATGTGAAAATGCAGAGTCACCCGACAGACTGGTGACTCATATCAAAAATAGGAACTCACACATTCATCTAAAACGGTAAAGTAAGGCTTGTGCACACATTCAAGTTAAGAATAAATGTTTTCCTGAGTGAGCTTTATTATAAGTAGGGGATAATGTAGAATGCAGGTCATTATCGGAAAATAAGTACAGACGAACCTGAAGGTACTTATTTACTGTGAGGAGCAGTATGATAATTAGGTATAACAGGCCATGGTAGCCCAATAGTTAGTGCAAGACTTAATGAAATAAAAATGTCTAATCTGTTGGTAGATAATGCTGTAACATTGTTTCATTGCATCAGATAGTTGTGATGGAAAGGGAGAGGGAGACCAGAGAGAGAGCAGAGATGAAGACCAGAGAGGGAGCAAGAGAGAGACCAGAGACCCAAGAAAGGGAGACCGGATAGGGAGCAAGAGAGAGACCAGAGCGAGACCAGAGAGGGAGACCAGAGAGGGAGCAAGAGAGAGACCAGAGAGACCCAAGAAAGGGAGACCAGAGAGGGAGCAAGAGAGAGACCAGAGCGAGACCAGAGAGGGAGACCAGAGAGGGAGCAAGAGAGAGACCAGAGAGACCCAAGAAAGGGAGACCAGAGAGGGAGCAAGAGAGAGACCAGAGAGGGCAGAGGGAGACCAGCGAGAGAGGGAGACCAGAAAGGGAGACCAGAGTGAGAGAGACCAGAGAGAGAGGGAGACCAGAGAGTAAGGAGACCAGCAGGAGGAAACCAGAGAGAGAACAGAGAGAGAGAGACGAGAGAGGGTGAGAGACCAGAGAGAGGCCACCAAGACCACAGCCCTTCTTTGAACATTCGTCAGTCATTAGTTTCGATTATTCCTTCATTCAAAACTCCCTTTGATCGTTTTGCAACAAAATCACAAACTCTGCACTTGTTTCATTCAGTTTTGTTTCGCCGAGTGAAACGCGCCTCCTCAGATCCGAGAAAGAGGCGTCACCTGCGGCGGCGGCACGTTCAGGCTGAGTCAGACCTCTCTCGGAGTCATGTGAGCAGAGCCACCGCAGATCATGCAAATGTGGAGGTTTTAAATAACTGTGTTTCGCCGAAGAGGCTCAGGTTTTACTATAATCCACATCGCCACACGTGTAACCTCAAAGCCACACGAGAAGCAGCAGAGACTGGTTCTGGGTCAGGACACAAGAGAGAGTCTGAGGTGTGAGAACTTATGTAGAAGAAGTAGTCAGAAGAAGAAGAACTAGAAGAGTCTGCAATCATTCTGTCTGCAACAATCTGAGACACAGGTTTGTTAGAGACCTTCAGCACTGTCTATTTTTATTGTAACATTATTTTTTATCATTGTTGTATTTATCATAATATTAATAATAATACAAATATATATAGTATTTTATTATGATCATTTTTGCATAATTATTGTGTTACATCATCATTGGCAATAACAAGTCAATAAATTGACAAAAAACTACCCTCCTAACAGTTTGCTACAGTTAATGAGAAGACCATAATAAATGAGACATTTGAGTTGAGTCTTATTTTACTCAATATTTGCCTTTGAATAATATGAAGGACATGAATCCCAATATATCACAGAATTGAATTGAATACTTGATCATATCACCATATGCCTCTTAACATCGGCCCTCGAGCCGTTTTTATTTTTAAAATGTCCTGCTGGCAATAGCAGAAGTATTTTGAACTTCAAACCCCACGAGCTGTATGCATATTTAAAGCTTATTTTCTCATCTACATTTTCATACAAGTAGAAACAATATCAGACCTTGCATGAAAATGATACAACACATAATATGGGCACAAAATAAATCATGTCCATAATATTGAATGGTCACATTTGTGCCCATTCTCAGCCCAATATAATGTATGTCTTTATGGTCGACGTATTGGAACATTGTAATTGATTAAACAAGGCATCAAAACAGAATCAAGGTTTTTTATTTTAATTTTATTTTTTAGATAATTGGATCCAATCAATCAGTACAGCCCTCCTCTGACTGACCCAGAGGCTGAACGTGTGTGTCGTGTGTAGGACTGACCACTCCATGACGATGAGCAGACATTTGCGTCCCTGGTACAGATTCTCGTAGACGTCGATGATGCGGACGATGTTGGAGCACGGCGACGCCCTCCAGTGGAGATCCACCTCTCTGCGCGCTTTAGTGCAGTCCTGGAGCATCTGCAGCAACAACACAGGAACACTTTAATATAAGACACTTTTCATCAAGAGGAGAAAAGGTACATGAAGATCAGAAAATAGATTTGTTTTAATCCGTGTATGGCTCAAATCTGGATTTCCAAAGACAATATCACAGTATTTACGTTCATTCAAGTTTTCAGTGTAAGTCAGTAGGAGCCAGAGAGAGCTGGAGCAAAACTTCGTCCATGAGCACTTCCCTATAGGGGTGAGCATTTTCCATCTATATATAGTCTATGGGCAAGAATTAATGACATTTTGTGGTAAGAGATTTGTTAAGTAGTATAGAAAAAACATGGGGAGATAAATTGCAGAAGATTTTACGTTTTAACATTGCTGGTGCACGAACAAAAAATTATGCAAGGGATAATATTTTCAAAAGATTTCCAAAATACTTGTTTTCAGATGGGAAAAAGATTGGGGTTTGTGTGAATGAAGCATTGAGATAGAAGACAGACAGATGCTGCCTCCTGCTGGAGAAGAGCTGTGGTTCAAGTCGTACTTTCTCATGTGGATGTGGCACCCTCTTGTGGTCATGTTTGGGTAGTGCGGGTTTTAAATTGTATCAGCAGGTGAAAGCTGGTATGTTTGAGTCTTGATAGAAGAAATAAATATACTCAACTAAACTATTGTAAAGTATTGATAGGAAAGGAAGAGTACTTATAGCACATTACACACATAAATGAGTGTGTTCACAGTAAAGTGAAAATTGAAGTATCTGGACTTTAAAAGGTTATAACTTAAAAACTAAAATTCTTTTCATAGATTGGAAAAAAGATTTCAAACACAGACACATTGAAGAGAGAGTGTGGAAAAAACTCAAAAGGAAAGATTGACATAAAATTTTAAACGACCAAATCAGCCTCTGATTGGACCATTCTACTGTGACGCCGGTTACATAGAAAATAAAATGTCCTCAGTCTGAAAAAGCAGAAGATGAAATCCCACAAGATTTACATGGTTAACACAACAGAAGGAAATCACTTGATATAAAAAGGAATCGTAAAAAAATAAAAATGAATTAATTCTCTTATTTTCTCTTAAAATTAAACTTGAGAAAAAAAAAATCTGGTCTGTTTTCACATTTAATTGCTTGACAATATGAAAGTATCACTTTGCATCTACTTTGTGTGAAAAAATAGCTCATTCCGTCAAATCATCACGTCCGTTACATAAAATAAACAGGGCCACTTTAGGAAACTTGTCTAATGTATAAAACAGTTATGTTCTAGCAACTTCTAAAGGACAGAGGAGGTGCTTGGAAACATGAAAAACATAAAATATCTTCTGATTATTAAAATCTAATTTTTGGCCTTTTGTCACACTTTTGTGCCCTTTAGTGTGAACAAGCCCAAATGCAATTCAATGCACTTTAAAGGAGAAATCAACAAAACAAATGGAAACAGTCGTGAAACTATTAGTCATATATAATTCTGTAGAGAGGAGTAAATATTCGACATGGGCTTTGAAATCAGCGCCAGGTTTTGAAATGAAGTGGAAAGCTCAGCCAGCCTGTGCCTGGTTTGTGCGGGGATGGGAGACTGCTGTGGTTATACTACTGATGCCAACTCCCAGTTCATAATTGCACCGCTAATTAGTTTTAACATGTACTTTGTTTTTACATTTTACACAACTACACACATGTTAAGTACATGTGTGAAACATAAGTATAATAATAAATGCATTGGTTTCATATAGCACTACTCACATGACATTCTTGAACTCCATACACAAGGGAGCCACATCTGCCCTGCACCACACAGACAGAAGCGAGGCAACCAGTCTGTGCCATCGGCCCCTCCCCCCACCAACCGTCCACACACACACCAGGCTCATACATAAGTGTCCTCCCGTCTTTTTAGCACTTCACAGCCAAAGCCGCCCCACTGTGGCACCTGGTGTTCCCAGAGGTCTCCCATCACAGCACTAACCTAGCCTGGCCTTAGCAATCCGTACACTCCGCTCAATCATCATTTCACTACATGTAACGTCTGGGCCTGGTCCCCGTCTTAGCGATTACAATCGGCTGAATTTCGACCGATCAATCAGCAAGCGCGTTGTAGGTGACGTGGCAGGTTGTATTTTGGCAATGGCGAAGAATGCGATAGTAAAGTAATCCGGTCTGGTTCTCTCAAGAAATTGAAGCCGGAGCAAGAGGAATGTTTAGCAAATGTAATCTCTGGCAAAGACTGTGGCGCTACTCCCCACGGGCTCCGTTAGCAGCAAAAGAGGTTGCTAGGCTAAATGCTAACGAGAGACTCGGGCGCACTACATACGTCACGGTAAACTCAGATCCAATCGTTTCAATCTGGAAAAAGAGTTAACCCCTCCCACCTGTAAACGGAGCTCAATGGAGTAAATCCAGACCGTAGTAAGAAATGTCATTTGTACTATGGTGTGGTACGACCAGGCTAGCACTAACCAGGCCCTGCCCTGCTAAGCTTTTGGAGGTTTGCTGAAATGTATGTGTGTATTCAAAAACAACGAATCCCTCAAATACAACAATGTGAGTATTTGTGCGTAGTTTCCAACCCTGACCTTATATATGCTATTTTTCACTTTGTTAATTCTACTTCATTTTTACTCATTATTGATCAGAAATCAAACGTACTCCTTGGTTTGTTAAACTCTGTTCTCTCGTCTTTCACTGCAGGAAGAACGAGTGATTTTGTTCCTCCTTCCTTCACACTGTTAAAGTTAGAACTTGTGAATGTGGTGTTAAGTTGTTGAACCGTGGAGGACCTGGAGGCCACACAGTGACGACAGGAGAGACGCACGGAGCTAATATTATCCTGCTAAATTTAACCGAACCTCCCGCGAACACAAAGCCCGACCATGGGGTAACTGTATCTGGGGGGGTGTAATGGAGGGGTGGAAATAATGGGGAACAAGGCCACACAATGTTACAATGAGACGTGTGGGTTTACGTGCGATTCTGTGGCTCAACAATTATCGTCTCTTGAGTTTTCACTGCATTCGTCAGTCGTATAGTGAGTTCTGAAATGTAGAGCGCATATGTTTAGGCTTTCAAACTTTTTAACAAGTACAGACATGGTTTACGAGAGCAACCAGCGGCTAACCCGGGTCTTAAACAGCCCTTTTCTGGGTCGAGAAAATTCTGGGACAGAGGAGACTACGCTATTGATATAGTAGTAATCCAGAAGTCATGACAAAGGAAATGTCAAAACAGATGAAACATATATAGTTTTGTGACAATACAGAGAAAAAGGCTTATATTGTTGAGATTCACAATTTATATTATGACAAGAATGTTAAGATTGATCTCACAAAGTAGATGGATATGAAAATACGTTCTACCACAATTTTTCAACTGTTTTTAAAAACTTACCCATTCCTATTCTTCTTTACAACTATTTTGGTAATTGATTCATCTGCACAGCTAAAAACAGAACTAATTCAACCTGGATATGAACATTGTCGAGCAGAAGTCTGTCTCACAAAAGCTGCATAAATCTGATATTCTGCCTCCCCATGTTTAGTCCTGACTCTGGGCACCAGCAGAAGCCAGTCCCTGTGCTGGACAGAGGGACATCATCATAAATCATTCAGCAAAGGTCAATAAATCGAGCCCAAAAGATTACTGTAGCAACCAGTGGGGGCGGGTCCCGGCTCCAAAAGGTCCATGAGCATGTGCACTGACATGTTACAGTCTCACCCTGGGCTGGTGGGGGTGTACCCGGAGAGAGAATAACCCAATGATTTTGTGTGGCGCCTTCTTTCCTCTCAAAAACCTATTTACAGGATTGTCCAAAAGTCGCTCTTGGCCCAAAGCTACGTTTCAGATGCTGTCGAGGGGAGTATATCTTTTTTTGGACCAGTTCCGTTTAGCCGCTGCATTTTTTCACATTTTGCTGCAGAAGGGGCCTCTCGTGGTCGTTTTGAGAGCCCACAGAAGGCGAAAGTGGTGGCACATTAGTTTCAACAGCGGATATAAGCGTGACTACATCTGTTAATATTTACACTCTGTGGTAGCAACAGAAGAAGCTCAAGGACCACAGTCTGAGAAACACTCATCCACTGGGCTAATTTTGAAACTTCCATGACTTGATCTTAATTGAAAAAGTTGCTAAAGCCTTTCGCTATATCAAAAATGTTATCAGGAGAAACATAATCTTAATTAAAAACATGTCGCTATTTGGTTGCGCTGTGGAGCCAGCTCTCTAATCAATACAACACAATAGAAGTAAATGGGTGAGGAGAGGGTATGAGTGAGAGCAATAGGACACTGGGTTGGAAAGGAGAGGAGCGGGGGAAGAAGGGTGGGGGGTATTGTGCTCTCCATCTGCCGTGGTCAAACACTGGAGACGGACACACAAAGATGAGCGCGACAGACAAACAAAAGGCTCGCGGCGGAGCAGAGGGGGTCGGGCCTTTCATGAGAACAGCCACATCCACCTGTTGATCAATAAATGACAGAGACACATGAAGCGGGAAGAGAAATCACTGTTTTGAACAACATTTATTGACATTGTTTCTTTGACGAACATACAATCAGATTTTTGCACAATATAAAAATCTGGGCCTCTCTCCCCCTCCGGACTCTCTCTCCCTCCGGACTCTCTCCCCCTGGTCATGAATTTGTCACTGTTGCAAATCCTTCTTGCATTTTAAAAGTTCCATCCATCCATCCATTTTCTTCCCCTTAATCCATTTCTGGGTCGGGGGTAGCAGTCAGAGCTGCATCCAGTACACAGAGCACCAGCCCCTCACTGATCCTCCTGCAGGTGGTGAGCCCACAGGAGCCTTGATTATTCAGCGGGGGCTTCAGGCAAAATGGGGTTAAGTGTCTTGCCCAAGGACACAATGACAGCAGTCATCAGTGGGAGTCGTGAAGTAGGTCTTATGTTTGGCTCGAACACACAACCTTCAGGCTTAAAGGCTCTACCACAATGCTTTACCAACAGGGCCACTGTCGCCCTGCATTTTAAAAGTTTCTGAATGAAAATACAAATTGCCTGTTA